GCAAAAGTTCATTTATTTCAGTAATGCAACTTAAAAGGTGAAACTAATATATGAGATAGACTCATTACATGCAAAGTAAGATAGTACAAGCCGTGATTTGTCATAATTGTGATGATTATGGCTTACAGCTAATGAAAACCCCAAATCCACAATCTCAGAAAATGAGAATATTACATGCAATCAATAAAACAAGGATTGTACATAGAACAATATCGGAGCTCTGAAAAGTATAAGCATGCATATACACTCAGTACTTCGTTTGGGCCTCTTTTGCAGCAATTACTGCCTCAATGCGGCATGGCATGGAAGCTATCAGCCTGTGGCACTGCTGAGGTGTTATGGAAGACCAGGATGCTTCAATAGCGGCCTTCAGCTCTTCTGCATTGTTTGGTTGGTCTCATGTCACTCATCTTTCTCTTGGCAATGCCCCATAGATTCTCTATGGGGTTCAGGTCAGGCGAGTTTGCTGGCCAATCAAGCACAGTAATCCCACGGTCATTGAACCAGGTTTTGGTGCTTTTGGCAATGTGGGCAGGTGCCAAATCCTGCTGGAAAATAAAGTCAACATCCCCATAAAGCTCGTCTGCGGAAGGAAGCATGAAGTGCTCCAAAATCTCCTGGTAGACGGCTGCGACCCTGGACTTAATGAAGCACAGTGGACCACCACCAGCAGATGACATGGCTCCCCAAATCAACACAGACTGTGGAAACTTCACACTGGACTTCAAGCATCTTGCAGTGTGTGCCTCTCCATTCTTCCTCCATACTCTGGGTCCTTGGTTTCCAAATGAGATGCAAAAGTTGCTCTCATCAGAAAAGAGGACTCTGGACCACTGAGCAACAGACCAGGTCTGTTTTTCTTTAGCCCAGGTAAGACGCTTCTGGCGTTGTTTTCTGTTCAAGAGCGGCTTGATAAGAGGAATACGACATTTGAAGCCCATGTTCAGGACTCGTCTGTGTGTGGTGTCTCTTGATGCACTGACTCCAGCCTCAGTCCACTCTTTGTGAAAGTCCCCAACACTTTTGAATGGCCTTTTCCTGACAATCCTCTCCAGGCTGCGGTCATCCCTGCTGCTTGTGCACCTTTTTCTTCCACACTTTTCCCTTCCACATAACTTTCTATTAATGTGCTTTGATACAGCACTTTGGGAACATCCAACTTCTTTTGCAATTACCTTTTGAGGCTTTCCCTCCTTATGAAGGGTGTCAATGATGATTTTCTGCACAACTGTCAGGTCTGCAGTCTTTCCCATGATTGTGATTCCTATTGAACCAGACTGAGAGACCATTTAAAGGCTCAGGAACCCTTTGCAGGTGTTATGGCTTAATTAGCTGATTAGAGTGGGACACTTTGAGCCTAGAATATTGCACCTTTTCACAATATTCTAATTTTCTGAGATTGTGGATTTGGGGTTTTCATGAGCTGTAAGCCATAATCATCACAATTATGACAAATTATGGCTTGAACTATTTTGCTTTGCATGCAATGAGTCTATCTCATATATTAGTTTCACCTTTTAAGTTGCATTACTGAAATAAATGAACTTTTGCACGATATTCTAATTTTTTGAGTTTCACCTGTATGTATATAAGGTCTTACTCTGAAACTGTGTTTTGTCCACCTTTTTTGAGATAGAGTTGGTGTCAAACCTTAAACCGTGCATTTAACTGGGTATGTCAAAGTGGTAAAGGTTTCAACACAGTGAAGACCAGAATCAGAGGACCCATTGAACAAGTGGCTCCTGAGGGGGTGTGCACACTATACAATTAATGTGCAGTTGGCAAACTGTGTTTTAATTTTCTGCCACAGTGAGTCTTAATATTCTCTCACATAATCATCATTCACCGCTTTTCTGATGATTCTGGAGGGTGTGTCTAAGCACGATAAATTCACACACCAAAGAAGTAACTGTTTCACAAAGCAATTCCTTAGCGAATTTGCAGAGAAAATTTCTTCTTTTGCTTTCCCACCAGAGACTTCCCAGTTGTGGATTAACAAGCCTACCATGTGAACATGAAGCATGTATAGAGAGGATATTAAATAAAGTGCTACAGTGGGGCTTTTGCAATCTGCTACTTGAAAGAAAATAAATATGCAATAGATCATTACAAAGAGTTTAATATGACGTATGTACTGTGTATTTTCTGCTGAACACTTAGTACAGTCTGAGTCCAAAGTCAAGGTTCACATTAATATGTAACTGTTTTCCTTTATTGCTGATCTTCAAAAAAATGATGCACTACCTACTACCTATCAAAAATGCATTATTAATCATAATGTTATAATTCATAGTTGCAATTTAATATTGTTGTATTGTTGTTTGTAGACAGCAGTAAAATAATTAAAAATTAATTTCTTTAACATTGAACCACGGGTGATGAAATTGGTTTCAACTTAAACTTTTCCAGCCTGCCAGAGCTGGATTAAATTATTTTCACTAGAGAGAGTGTAAGGTGCAAGAGTAAAAAATCTGTTATAATTGCATTGAATTTTATTCTTCTTTTGAATCTTGTTGAATGTAACTAGTCTTTATAGGGAATTTGTTATTGTGAAACAAAGAGCCATCAAAGAATAATAATATGACTGGTAAAGTGATTGTAAAGGCTCCATTTTTTTTTCAAAATAATAAACATGTGGTAGTTCGTCCGGCCGAGAAGTTGGGGGAGCATAGTTGTCTTGAAAAAAGGAAGCCTATGAGGCTGAGATGGTTAGGTTATTGTAGGATCAGGACACCTATGCCCCCCTCCAAAGTAACCATACTAATAAATATAAAAGGGATTTACAGGTATCATTGATAAGGGTTTTGATGATGGGATATTTTTTTTTTTTTAATTTAAATATTTATTAGTTTTTTTTTTTCAATTTAAAAACATATCAACTTCTCATTATATATATATAAAAATACAATGTAATATCCAACATTCTAATTTATTTTCTCTTTCCAAAATTATTTCTCAATCCCTCCCGCCACCTCCCCCCACCCTATTCCCATCTCCTTCCCTACCTTTTCTCTGCCTCTTCTTATAATAGCAAGTAAATTATAATTCTCTTTATTCATTCCTATATTTCATGTATAATCTGGCTTTTTCCCAATTTTCCCATTTCCCATAATAGACCTCCATCTTATCTATTTGAATATGGAAGAATTTTTCCATCTTTCTTATCTGCTCCACTCTTTCTATCCAGTCCTCCTCTCTCGGCACCTCCACCTTCCGCCAGAACTTAGGTATAAGGCTCTTTGCCGCGTTTAGATAGTACCATATCCCTGATTTTTTTTATATTTATTCACTGTTATATCTATATTATGCAAGATACATACTTCTGGGTCCAGAATCCTGAAAATTGGCCTGGGCAGCAGGGGGGAAATGCCCAGTAGGCAAGTGGTTAAAGCGCAGCTGATCCACCAGGACACCCGATAGTGGCATTGATTCAATTACTTCTTGAATAGGAAAATATATCAATATATTTTTATAAACCGCATCCACATCTGCCATTCCCTTCACTGGCTCCCGATTGCCCAGCACATCAAATTCAAATGACTAACTCTGACCTACAAAGCCATTCACAACGCCGCCCCAAACTACCTAACTGACCTGATACCCAAATACCACCCTACCTGTGCCCTTCGCTCCTCACAGGACCTCTTACTCTCTAGCTTCCTGGTCTCCTCCTCCCACGCCCGACTGCAGGACTTCTCCAGGACTTCCCCCATCCTCTGGAACTCCCTACCCCAATCCATCAGGCTGTCACCTACCCTCCTCACCTTCAGGCGCACCCTGAAAACCCATCTCTTCAGGGAAGCCTACCCCACCCTCAACTTACAACTGATCTCCTCCACTTCTCCCACCACTCCATCCCCCACAGCCACTTCCTCCTGTACCACTTCCCCTCCCTCCTAGATTGTAAGCTCGAAAGAGCAGGGCCCTCGAACCCCTCGTGTATTGTATTGTTACTGTTTTGTCTCATGTTCTGTCCCCCTTGCTATTGTACAGCGCTGAGCAAACCCTTTGGCGCTATATAAATACTGTATAATAATAATAACAGCTTGTATCTTTAACCCAATATTTTTAAAGGATACCGCACATGTTATTAATTTGATTAAACAAATAGAATGGAAGGAAGGGTATATCATGGCCACTGCTGAAGTTACGTCATTATATACCAGTGATGGCGAACCTTTTTGAGCCCGAGTGCCCAAACTGCAACACAAAACCAACTTTTTTATTTCAAAGTGCCAACACTGGAATTAATCACTTGCCTACTGGGCACTTCTACCCCCTTCCTGCCCAGGACAATTTTCAGCTTTCAGTGCTGTTGCACTTAACAAAGACAATTGTGCGGTCATGCAACACTGTAACCATATGCAATTTTTATCATTTTTTCACTCAAATAGAGCTTTTTTTGGTGGTATTTAATCACCACTGGGCGTTTTATTTTTTGCACTATAAATGAAAAAAGAGCAAAAAATTAAAAACATAAAAGGTTTCCTTTGCTTCTATTCTAAAATTTTGCAAACAGGTAATATTTCTTCTTTGATGTGCGTTGGTGAGGCTGCACTGATAGGCAGCACTGATGGGCATTGATGAGGCGGCACAGATAGGTAGCACTGATGAGGTGGCACTGGTGAGCATTGATGAGGAGGCTCTGATGATGCACTGATATGCAGGAAATGATGGGCACTGATAAGCGGCACTGACAGCACCAACTGGAGGCACTGACCGGCGGCATTGCTGGGCATCATTAATGGGTGGCACTGATGGGCAGCACTAATGAGGTGTCACAGATAGGTGGCACTGATAGGCGACACTGATAATGGGTACTGATAGACAGCACTGATAGGTGGCACTGACTGACATCACTGCTGGGCACTGACTGGCACAACCGCTGGGCACTGACTGGTGGCACTGACTGGCAGCACTGCTGGGCTGCACTGATGGGCACTGGTGGGCGGCACAGGTGGGCACTGGTGGGTGCATTGCTGGGCACAGGTGGCGCACACTGTGGGCACAGGTGGGTGCATTGCAGGGCACAGGTGGGCGCACTGTTGGGCACAGGTGGGTGCATTGCTGGGCACAGGTGGGCGCACTGTTGGGCACAGGTGGGTGCATTGCTGGGCACAGGTGGGCGCACTGCTGGGCATAGGTGGGCGCACTGCTGGGCACAGGTGGGCGCACTGCTGGGCACACGTGGGTGCATTGCTGGGCACAGGTGGGCGCACTGCTGGGCATAGGTGGGCGCATTGCTGGGCACAGGTGGGCGCACTGCTGGGCACAGGTGGGCGCATTGCTGGGCACAAGTGGGCGGAACTTGTGTGTGGCACAGATGGGCACCGATCATCAGGGCACTGATGATCAGTGACCCTGATGATCGGTGCCGATCCCTGTTCTGACAACTGCCGGTTTTCGGCAGTACTTTCCTCACGATCAGCGTGAGGAAAGTGCAGCCGAGAACCGGCATTTGCATTTCCCGGTGATCAGCGTGTCATTGGACACGGCTGATCACGTGGTAAAAGGCCGCTGTGATTGGCCTTTTACCATGTCACGTGATCAGCTGTGTCCGCAGGACACAGCGATCACGGAGATCGCCCGGTGCGCGCCCCCGGAGGTGCGCAGGAGAGCGCGTTCTCTTCCTCTTCCTCTCTTCCTCCTGGCGTGCCCACTGAGATGGCTCTGCGTGCCAGCTCTGGCACGCGTGCCATAGGTTCGCCATCACTGTTATATACTATAATCTCCCACACATATGGTTTGGAGGCAGTGGAATACTTTCTACCGAGTAATGGGAATTTATCCCCACATCAGGTTGATTTAATTCTGGAACTGCTTACATTTTTTAAGGCATAACTGTACAGGTATTAGTGATTATCATCTTCAATCAGGACTAATAAAAAGAGAATTATGGATATGGGGTACAGAGAAGCTAATTTGAATACCATCATTGATGAAGTGGGGACTAGGGACTAGGGAGAGGGACTTGTTATTAGATAGAAAGGTCAATATTTCTAATCCTGAAACATTCAACTGGGCCATCATAACATCATATTCTATCCAACATTGGGCCATAAAAAAGAGTATTAAAAGACATCGGCCAGTTTTGAAAAGTGTCCCAATTTTGGGTCCACTATCCAGATAAACCTGATGTAGTTTATAGGGTGCTTCATCTTTAAGGAATCTGGTGGCACCAAATATTATTGATCCTCCTTGGAAATCTCAATTCTTACAGGAACTGAAGGCCTACTACACTTGTCGTAAGTGTAAGGTGTGTGGGGTTAAGGGCAGGAAAATTATCTCCTTTTGTTCTAATCTGACATCCAAAGTCTATAATATGAACACATTCATAACCTGCAATATTTGTTACAGATGACAGAAATCCAGCTGAATATTTGTAGATATTACAATGAACAACAACCCTCAAAGTCCCATTTAAGATACTTCATATCAAGCATAGAGATACTACACCGTCCAGCATATGTCTGATCTATAATATGCACCTAAGTAGCTTCCATGCATGAAATAATGTGAGTTTTGATCTATACCTGTGCTCCCATATTAATGACAGGAAAAAGCTCCTCTTCCAGCCAAAATAACTTCCCTTGAAATAGTTTACTGGAGGTGTTTCTGATTGGCTGACAAAACACTTTTGATCTTACATGAAAAGACCTCACTTGTAACAATTAGGTTCACTATAGTGTTTACCAGAAGCACAGGTCATCCTTTCACCATATAATATGCCCTGGAGTCGAATTACCATCAATAAATACTTCTTGTATGGTCAAATCACATTCTTCATCATCCTTAAACATTTAAACAATGTACCATTTGAAATGTCTGATGAGATAAACAGGCTATTCCCCAAATATGGAGGTGACCTTGCATACAATTAACATAACAAAGAGTTCTTTTGATGTGTAAAGTGGTTTTGTCCCTGGCCTGTCCAAGAATGAACAGTATGTGTTTCAATATCTTCAATATATATATATATATATATATATATATATATATATATATATATATATATATACACACAATATACTACAGTCCGCACTCAGTGTAGAGATATCCGTATAAATGTCTTTATTCCAAAATCATAGGAATTCAAGAAAAGAGGTTGACCGGTTTCACACAGTGCACTGCTTATTCATAATCAATGTAATGTTAATGTTATGAATAAGCACTGCGCTGTGTGAAACCAGTCAACCTGTTTTTCTGAATTCTTGTGATCTCCTGTGATCTGTCATTTTGGAATAAATACATTTATGTGGATATCCCTAAACTGAGTGCCGCCATCATGTTTTTTGCTTCTACATTTGGTGAACCAGAGCAGTACCTATCCATGAGATTGGCTTTCTGGGATTGGCCTCTTGCACGTACCTGAGCGGTGTACTCTTCATATTTGTGTAAAGCTGCACTATATTGAGCTGTGTTTTTTTTTTTACACAAGTTCCTTTTTTGTGAAGTGATTACATTTGCACAAAACTAAAAGCTAAATTGTTTATGTTAATTATTTATTTACACATGGACTGGTATGGACTTTAACTTCTGGGGTTCCCCGCTGACGCTGTCCTCTTCACCCCACTGCCAAGTGCCCACATAGCAAACCGCTTGCAATGGGGTACTCATGCATGCTCGCTCCTGAGTCCTGAGTCCTGCTCTGTGTGTTCATAGACACACACAGCATGGCTTGGCTCCACCCCCACTCGCTCCTCACTGTCTGTGATTGACAGAAGTGGGAGCCAATGAGGAGGGAGGGTGTAGAAAGAGCAACTACTCTCATGTGCATCGCTGGGTCAAGATCAGGCTCAGAGAAGTATGAGGGGGTTTCTGGGGGAGAGCAGAAGGTTTTTTTTACCTTAATGCAGAGAATGCATTAATGTGGTAGTAAAGTCCAAACACAGCAAACAAAAAAAAAAACTGGGCCCCTGGGCAGTAAAAGTGCTAGTATGCACCCTACAAAGAAGCCCTCCAGCAGCGAGCTGTCACTGCTGTTGGAGCTTCCATATTCACCCGGTCTTCCTGCTGGGTTTGTTGTTTGAATGGCTGGGCCATGTACCAATTGTACGTACAGAGATGGACGCGGTCATCCATCTTGCTAAAGATTCCCCATCTTGTATTATTCTCTCTCTCCCTCCAATCCCCCTCCCTCAGGAATGTGGTCTGTATGTACTCGGAGATCATAGGCATCAGGCACAGCGGGATAGCTTCTTGGTTATAAACCCCAATTAGCCTGGGCCCAGTATGTCTGTGAGACTCTTGCTTGGAGAGAATCAAAAAGCCATAAACCAGTCCTTCACTGGACTTCAAACGCATTCCAAGATAGCCGTAAAACAGACATCACATTTGCAACCCACTTTTCAATATCATTTCATATCTCAAGCTAGAAAATAATTACAATGAAGTAAAGCATATATTCGGATAGCTCAGTTTAATGCGAGTTGCCTGATATCTTACACCCCTAGTTGAAGTCTACAGGAGAGCAGAGAGCCATATAGTTCTAGTGGAAATAGTGAGATATGGCATATTTGATGTCAGGACGTTCAGAATATCATTCTACATATTAATCTACTAGTGGCTAGGCTGCTACATGTCCCTATAGAAGGTTATTGACCATGATATAAACAGTGAGGGATTTGGTCATAGCCTGAGTTCCCCCGCCTAAACACCCCTCCCCAAATGAGGTGATTGGTTCTCTGCTGTAAGGAGACACCCTGCTGGGTTCCTAGAAAAAGGCTGTTATGCTTGGAGCAGTAAGTTGAAGAGATCTCCCTTTTAACATCAGGAACCAACTTTGGGAGAAAAGGCACCCTTTTGCACTGACACTTGAACGCTGCTTAAACCAAGGCTGACAGCAAGTATTCTACCTCTCTAAACTTCTTTCTGTTATCTCTCTGTTGTGGTATTGCTCTCTGTATATTTATATATATATATATATTGGCTACATCTTTTTCTGTAAATACTTTTATTGCACCATTTTGACCTTTTTAGTAATAAATCTTATTATCTGAAAAGTGTTGAACTGTTTCTAAATCTCTTTAATACAAACTAAGAATCCCTGTCTCTGAAGAGCACTACTGCGTGTTTTTAAACCTCTATATACATCTGCCTGCAGTGACAGTGTGTATACAGACGATTATTCAAACATCATAGTGTTATTGCTAATATTGGCGAGTTTCCTCCTTCTCTGTACAAAAAGGCGGTGGTGGCAGTGTGAAGGGTTAATTGCATAATTAACCTGACCCAGTAACAATCGCTCTCAGGCTGCAGGTACATAGATTATGGTCCATTAGCTGGAAAATCTTTGTGCAGGGTGCAGCTGAGCGTAGCATTGTTACGCACGTGACAGCGCGGTTTTGGATTGGCTAGTCCTTTGGTCACGAGTTGGTGAGAAGCGCAGGGGGCTTACGCCGCGACCGTCACAGGCCACACTGATGTAACTCCCGCACATGCTTGTGGGTGTCACCGTCGCAGCATAGTGCTCTCAGTGGACGACAAACTCCAATGTGCTGTCTATGTAGAGTGCAGTGAGCATGCACCAGTGATGTCAGTGTCTTCTATAAACATGAATATATCCTAAATGCTGTACATTTAGGAGATATTCGCTATATATTAGCCTACTATAGGTTTACCTGTAGGTACAAGTCATATAGTGAAGTTTACTACTGCTTTTTGGTAAAAAACCTTCAGGCTTTTAGAACCACGTTAACATAAGGTGTAAATGATTAAAGAAATACCTCCTTATTTCCAAAGTATACATGTTATTTGTATAAAAAAATGGTATAGTAAAATCTGCCTTGCTTCTTTAGATATGTCAAAGTATATGTAGTGCCACCCCTGAATGAGCCACTTGACAGTTTTGGGTTCCCTGCTCTGCACCTCGACTCCAAGAACAACCTCAGCCAGTCTAACATACCTGATTTATTAAAAAAACCCTGCGAGCACAATTAACAACACAAGTGTAAAATACCTTTCGCCTGGCTGCGGGGTATTGCCAATAAATAAACACACACCCGTTTAGTGGTAAACACATATATATAGCTATATATCACTGACCAGAATCAATACGTAAATTAATGAGTCAGCAATACACAATAAACTGAACTGTTATGCATTTAGAATGTTAGCAGCTCTATACTGGTTTTGAGTGCATTCAAATGAAAGGACAAGAGTAATGGTACCAACTTAACCAAAGAACAGAACCCTGAGGAAGTCACGTGTTTATCGTGACGCAACGCATTGGTACGCGAGGAGGATTCTGGGAGCGCGGTGACGTAATTTCCGGCGTCATTTCCGGTGTGGCGGCCATACTTGAAACCCCTATATTAAATACCCATGCAGGACATTCATAGCATGTGGTATAGAAGCCTGTGATTGAAGATTCTAATGTGAGTGGGCATTTTTTATTATACATATATGGAATAAATACAGTTTTACGCTATGAGAGTTTTCTGTCTATATATGAACCGAGGAGGAGGCTGCTGAGAGAGTATATGAGTCTGGGGAGGATCCGGTGATTCATCAGAGTGGTGTTTTATCCTAAGGCAAGCTAACCCTGTGGGGTCTATGTAAGGAGGTGAGGGGCCACTGCAGCCATTGTTTGGTTTCACACAGTGTGGACACTTGGGATCACATGCATGAAGATTGAGAGTTTCTCTGTTTTGTTTGGACACTTTTTCGCATATGGACTTACTTTGAGTAGTATATATTTGCAGTTATTTTGTATTATTTATTGCTAACACTTTGAACACTTTAATATTCCCGGTTGGGAATACACGTGTTGCACTTTACTATATTTGCACATTTTGCACAGATTTTTTAGCACTAATTTTTTTATTTTATTATTTTATATAGGATTTTAGGTTTAGTGCTGTATTGTGTATTATTTATTGCACAGATATATATTTGCACATATGTTTAGCACTTATATATATATTTATTACTTATAGTATTTTAGGTGTTGCGCTGCACTTTATATTATTTATTGTTTATTCACTCATTTTGGTAAGAGGTTTAGTGTCAGCAGCTTTTACGATAGGGCCCCATTTCTAGCGCAGGAGGTTCATCCATTCAGTAATACATATACACCACCTTAACTAGCAAACAGGCTCAGGCCTTGGGGAAGTTACGATCAGGTGCAGTCTTTAGTCCTAAGACTTCACCGGCTATACGTTGGAGTGTGTTGGCGTATGTTTCAGCCATCAATAAGGCATGCAGACAGTATTAGGGCTATAGGATAGCAGGTTGGGCAGTTCCTAATGGCTCAGTCTATAGCAATGGTAGCAAGTAATGAGTGCAAGGCCCTCTCACTAGACCCAGCGACACAGCAGTGACGATTTCTCCCACTGGACATCCACTCCTTTAGGGTTGTCAGGGTGACTCTGGTGCTTGGTGCAGCACCCTGTGCCTTGGCACTTGCTCCGACTCTTGGCTTTCTCATGGTGTAGGAGGCAGTGCGGCTCTATCTCTCTGGTGGTGATGGGCCATGTGGTGTTCTCTCTCTCCTAGCATCCCTCAGTAAAGTCCACTCTCTTCTCTGTCCCCCTGCAGCACAACCTCAGAGCTCTTCTTTCCTAGGCTCCAGGCTCTCTCTTTTTTTCCCCTTCCATACAGAAAACTGGGAGCTGTAGTTTTCTCCCATCAGCTTAGAATGGAGCCACCTGTCTCCAGGTCTATATTTCCCATGGTCTTCCTCTCTTCCACCTAATTGGTCCCTTGCTGCTGCCAGAAGAAAGGCAGAAGAAAAAGAAGAAACAGAGCAGCAAATTTCAGGGAGCCAGCTTTCACTCACAGTGTCCTCCCCTGTAAGGCTGGTCTGGTCTTCTCTCTCCCTGCTGGTGGTAGAAGGGCGGGAGGAAAGGAATGAGCGGTCAGAATCACACAGAGCCGTTGGTGTCACACTTTCCTGTGCTGCTAAAAGGAGGAGGGGGGGCATGCAGGGAGAGACACTGACAGCCGGCAGCTCGCCTCTCCCCGGCCACAGCACTGCTGCCTGTGTCCTGCCCGACAGTGAAAGCAGCGGGGGGAATTTGCAGGTGAATCGGCTGCACCCGCTAAATACAGTATATTTAAAGCCAAAACTTTGTTTTCCATTTTGGATAGAGTTGAGAGACTTAAAATCACTGTCAGTTTTTTTTTTCCTGCTGTCAGTTCTTTCCTGTAGACTCAACGGAGTATAAGAAAATATCTTTCAAATGTAATAGGCGTCACAGGAACATGCGTCCCCATTGAAAGATTTCCCCTCTGTTCCTGTTCTGGTACCAATTCCCTGGTCTCCTCCTCCCATGCCTGACTCCAGGACTTCTCCAGGTCTTCCCCCATCCTCTGGAACTCACTACCCCAATCCATCAGACTGTCACCTACCCTCCTCACCTTTAGGCGCACCCTGAAAACCAATCTCTTCAGGGAAGCCTACCCTGCCCTCACCTAACAGCCGATCTCCTCCACTCCTCCTACCACTCCATCCCCCACAGCCACTTCCTCCTTTACCACTATCCCCTCCCTCCTAGATTGTAATCTCCAAGGAGCAGGGCCCTCGAACCCCTCGTGTATTGTATTGTTACTGTATTGTCTCATGTACTGTCCCCCACTATAATGTACAGCTCTGAGCAAACTTTGTGGCCCTATATAAATACTGTATAATAATAATAATAATTCAAACGTTTTGATGTCGTCCCACTTTCATTCTCAGTGAAATTGGTGATCAGAACTATTAGAGAGAGTGAATCTCCACAGCAGATACACAGACAGCAATAAAAACCTGGCTGTTCACCACTGTCCATAACAAAAAAAACAAAAAAACTTTTGTTAGCAAAATGTGTAGCACCTTACCTATGTTATGTATTAACTAATGTACTGAAAAATCCCTGCCATCACGAATTTGCTCAATTTGACCTTTAATTTAATTTTGCGGGTTAAAAATCTGACTCCGGTTGTAAATTTTACCATTTTTGTGGCATTTTAATAACAGCTTCCTGCAACAGCAAGGAAAAGGGAGTCCTCAGATATATGCAATACTTTTGCTATGAGTGCACATCTAGAAATAAGTCCAGATAGGACATACGGGTTAATCGTTTTAGTTAGCAGCATCAACAATATGGGACTTTGGGAATTTGAGACTACTGCTAACTATAGAGACTTTGGTGGCCAGGCAGCAAATCTAGCAATGAAAAGATGACTTTGCATAAGTGAATATTCAGTTAGTTTAGTGAATACGGTGAAGCTCTGCAACCATCAAAGCTGATGCTCCCTGCTGAGTGGAGAGCTCAGGCTTTGACCCAACAGGGCTTGTGTCAGACCATTACTTCCACAAATAGAGCAATGGGTCTTCTCTACAACATGTTGGCAGGGGATGAGCCTTTCTATTCAGGCAGGCTGATGGCTGTGAAGCATATATAAAGGAAACTACTGTGAAGCATGATACACACAATGAGAATATACTGTGAAGCATGATACACACGATGAGAATATACTGTAAGCATGATACACACAATAAGAATATCAGATGAATTATTGTCCGTTTTTTTTTTTGCATGCTATACTCATATCGAAATTAATCCAACTTCGGAAGTGATGTAATGTGTTGTATTGTATTGTAATGTATTTTTCTATTTCTGAGCATAGTCTAGCTCTTCCATTTTTTTTTATGGATGAAAAATCATATGATCTGGTATCATACAAAAAAAATGTTTGTGTTTGTCCCTTCAAATAATTTCAGAGGAAAGCTGTGTACTAATGATTGCTTCAAAAGTGGTATTTTTTTGTCCAATGTTCTGCTTGTGTGTACTAGGCTTATAGTGGTAGTAAAGTCACTTTTTTTACTTTTACCTACAGGTAAGTTTATAATAATAAAACTTACTTTTAAAATTAATATCTCCTAAACATTCATCGTTTAGGAAATATTCTACAGAGCAGTAGCCGGTGACCTACCGGTGCATGCACTCTGAAGGAATGGCAAAACCGTCCCGTTCCTTCAGAGCTGTGTGCCATGACCAAAACTCCTGCAAGCATATGTGGGAGTGACGTCATCGATGGCTTGGCCATTGAAGCAGCCGCAGCCCGAGAACCCAGAAGCAAGACCGGGTGAAGATGGAATTCTACAGCAGCGGTGACAGCGCGCCACTGGAGGGCTTCGTTCTAAGGTAAGTATTTCATAATGTGCTAGTATGTCATGCATAGTAGCCCATTATGATATTACCTTGCAGCAGGAAACTTTTTATTTTTTTGTAAATGAGCTTGCTACCACTTTATGCTGTATGCAGGGGCGGACTGACCATTCGAACACTTAGGCACCGCCCAAGGGCCCAGGATCAGTAGGGGGCCCCATGTGATGCCCCTGGTACATTCATTGGTTTTTTGGGCGTGGGCGAGGACACGGGGGCCCCATGATACCCTATTGCCCGGGGGCCCCATGAGTTGTCAGTCTGCCCCTGGCTGTATGAAAACTGTACGACTTTGTACACCTTTTATTTTGATGATCCTGGAATATACTGTAGTTATCTGATTAGGGCTCATTCACGCTATCTCTGTTGAGGCGCATTAATCATCATAAATCATAAATCTGTTCACACCACAATGCTGCATTGAGGTGAGTTGCAGTGCAGTGCGTGAAAAGACAGACATGCAGCATTTTTAAGCAGCTTAACTTACTGTACCGAGTGTCCCCGCAGTGCATAGCCTTGAATGAAGTGTAATTTTGTGACATTTCAATAAAGTTAAAAAAAAAGTAAAAAAAACACCAGACATCAGCCCACATGTGTTTTAACATGCAGTTTAGTGTGAATGACCCCTTAAACTGAAAGTACATGTGGGCTTTAATCATAATTCAAGTAATCTACAGAACAGTTTTTTCTTCTGTATAGAAGAGAGTTAAGTAGCTAAGTGGTTAGCACTTTGGCCTGGCAGCACTAGGGTCGTTGGTTCAAAATTTCAGCCACAGCACAACCTGCCTGAAGTTTGCATGTTCTTCCTGTGCCTGTGTGGGTTTCCTCTGGGTACTCTGCTTTCCTCCCAAACTCCAAAGACATGCTGGTAGGTTAATTGACTCCTGTCTAAAATCACCCTAGTATATGTATGTATGAATGTGAGTTAGAGACCTTCAGTTGTATGTTCCTTGAGGGTAGGGGCTGTTGTGAATGTACAATATATATGTAAATTGTGGGCACTATATAAGTACCTATAATAATAAGAGAGCTGAGGGACAGATTCACTAATTGAAAGTGCTGAGTATGCCCATCCTCCTCCTTTCACTGAAGCTGTACTATAGCTTCCATGAATGAAAAGCTATATTTAAATGGAAGATGGCCCCAGTATGTGAATGAAAGGCTCACCTCCTCCATTTATAGATAATTTTTTATGCATGACAGCTATAGTACAGATTGAATGAGTGAAGGAGGAAGGAGGAAAAGGCATAGTCATCACTCTTAATGAGTGCCTGTTAAATCGAACTTTACCCACAACAATTTGAAAAAATAAAATAATGTTCTTTAACAAGGAACAAACATTCCACAATAATAATTATGATACCAAAATTACTGTGTGCTGTAAATTGCCTCCAGCATTGTTTCTTGTTTCTTCTTGCTGGAAGCTGCCATTTTGCTGAAGCCCAGAGCCCCTGAGCAGCAGTAAATCCTTAGGTTGTCAGTAGATCCGCTCTATATTTTCAGTACAGTGCCAAAAAATAGAGAGCAACTGAGCATTTGCAGAGCAGGGTGAGACAGTGTATTACTGGATTTTAAACAGTATAGGTACTTTTTTTTATGTTTTACATAGCTATGCCTGCAAAAAGGGGCAGCCTGAAGTGACCTAGCAGGACTTCATTTTCTGACTACACTGTGTTCCAAATTATTATGCAAATTATATTTTTCTCATTTACCTAAATAATTGATGTAAATAACAGTCAGCATAATTCTCATGTTATCAACTATTAAGAGTACAATTCAAATTTTATTGAACAAACCTCCTAATGATAACAGTATTTTTTTTAAACATAAAACACTTCCAATGCACTGTTCCAAATTATTACGCACAGTAAGTTTCAAAACACTTTATAGGTTGTAAAGAACTGAAAATTGTCATTTGTTGTGTTTGCAGCGTATTTACTGAAATCAAAAGCTATTTCAATCAAACTTTTAGCAACATTTTAACTTTTTAAACATTTTAACAGGTCACATTACATTGTAACATAGGACCCCTTATTTGATAGCAGCTTCACACGTCTTGCATCCATTGAACTTGTGAGTTTTTGGACAGTTTCTGCTTGAATTTGTTTGCAAGATGTCAGAATAGCCTCCCAGAGCTGCTGTTTAGATGTAAACTTCCTCCCACCCTCATAGATCTTTTGCTTGAGGATGATCCAAAGGTTCTCAATAGGATTGAGGTCAGGGGAGGATGGAGGCCACACCATGACATTCTCTCCTTTTATCCCCATAGCAGCCATTGATGCAGAGGTATTCTTTGCAGCATGAGATGGTGCATTGTCATGCATGAAGATGATTTTATTACTGAAAGCATAGTTCTTCCTTCTGTACCAGGGAAGAAAGTGGTCAGTCATAAACTCCACATACTTTGCAGAGGTCATCTTTACACCTTCGGGGGCTCTAAAGGGGCCGACCCGCTTTGTTCCCATGATTCCGGCCCAAAACATGACTCCACACCGCCTTGCTGACGTTGCAGCCTTGTTGGAACAGGGTGGCCGTCCACCAACCATCCACTACTCCATCCATCTGGACCATCCAGGGTTGCACGGCCCTCATCAGTGAACAGGACTGTTTGAAAATTAGTCTTCATGTATTTTTTCTGCCCAATGTAGCCGTTTCTGCTTGTCAGCATTGGTTATTGGTGGCCGAATAGAAGGTTTATGCACAGTTGCAAGACTCTGGAGGACTCTACACCTTGATGTCCGTGGGACTCCAGGGGCACCAGCAGCTTCAAATATCTGTTTGCTGCTATGTAATGGTATTTTAGTAGCTGCTCTCTTGATCTGATACATGGATCTAGCAGAAATCTTCCTCAATGTGCCTTTATCTGCACGAACCCGTCTGTGCTCTGAATCGGCCACAAATCTCTTAATAGTGCGATGATCACGCTTACGTTTTCGTGAAATATCTAATGTTTTCATACCTCGTCAAAGGCATTGAACTATTTCACTCTTTTCGGCAACAGAGAGATCCTTTTTCTTTCCCATATTGCTTGAAAATGGTGCTCTGCTTAATAATGTGGAACACCCTCCTTTAGTAGTTTTTCCTTAAATTGGACTCACCGGCCAATCTAATTATCACAGGTGTCCGAGATTGTTTTCAGTGATCAAAAGAACCTGAGACACAATGCCATCCATGAGTTAAACTGAAAAACAAAATATTTAATCTTTGTGACACTTAAATAGAATTTGTATAATAATTTGGAAGGCGGTGTAAAGGTCTACTTTAAGTGATTATAAAGCTTAATTTTTTAAAATTAAAACAATAAACATGTCATACTTACCTGCTCTGTGCAATGGTTTTGCACAGAACAGCCCCGATCCTCCTCTTCTCAGGTCACCTACTGGCACTCTTGGCACCTCCTCTTCATCCAGTGGCCCCATAGGAAGCTACTTCCTATGGGGTCACTCGTATATGCAAGCTCCCGAGTCCCCTACCTTTGTCTATAGACATGATTCCTTGTCACAGAGTTTGATTGACAGCAGCAGGAGAGGATTTCAACTACAACAGCAAGCACAAGGGACACAACTTTTTTAAAAAAAATAAAGTTTCAGCTAAACTTTGGTTTCAACTTTCCCCATCTTGCTTAGTGATTTATTCAGGTTCAGCTGAATTTACATCTACTAAAGAATTAAAACAAGGATAATGGTCTTTTATAACGTGGTCCAGATTGGGTCTCTCATACTGTTGCCTTGTGGTCTTGTTCAGAAGTTTAAAGCCACTAAAGTATTTATATGTCATGGAGGCTAGCATGGAGGCATTTTCTTCATTTTTTGAAGATTTAAAAATGTTCAAACTTGCATTATCCAACATGTGTTCATAATACAGAGAACTGTTGTATTTAGGTAAAGGTAGTCCTCATTATACTTAATTATGCCCTTCAAAAATGTATTAAGGTTAATTTTACACTCTGTGTTTTACAGGCTTCAGTGCCTGGTAATCCTAGCTGTGGTCATTTATACTTAAATGCCTAAAAACGCACAAACATTATACAAAAACTAGCTGTATGAAATAATCTTTCTTTCCTAGCAAATGCATTTTGCATTTTTTGACTCTATATTACTTCAAATGCCATCACTAATAATCCATTTAATAAAGTGGAGGCCTTGAATATATCTGTAGATTCTTGGTTTGATAATGTTAACACGATACTGCTATTGCTTTTCACACTTGTTGAATAACCTGCCTTCACAGTAAATATCACAATCCAGATTTAATACTTCAAACTGGCTTCTCCCAGAAGTGTTTTTTTCTAACAAAGGTTCTTTCGTTGTTTGTTACAAATAAGTTTCTTAGGAATCGATCTGCGGAAGTCTCTTATGAAATTGAGTTTCGTTTCCAGCAGGATAACATGTTATAACTTGATGAAAAAGTACTGCAGCGCAAAAACTGAAAGTCGTTGGGAAGAAAAAAAACAAAACATGTCAGGTACACAATAAGGCTACTACAGAAGAATTGATGGCACAAAGCACAGGCTGTAGTAGCATCTTGTTTAACTTTTCATTTAAACCTTTCAAACAAAAAAATATGACCTCCTTAACCCATTCATGACCAAAGTCAAAACAAACCTTAATGCCCAAACCCAATTTTGCAACTTTGATGTGTATTAGTAAAACTGTACATATCATGCTAAACTACTTAGTGCATCCAGCAGGGTTTCCAATCATCCGTAAATTTGTAGACAGTTTGTAATTATTGGCCTATATGTCACCTGTCTGTAAATGTCTGTTACAGATGGTGGCAGCCCATACAAAAAAAAAAAAAATGGGGGGTTTGTCCGACTTTGGAACTGTGTATGCAAAGTTCAAAAGTCTGCCGGGCTTGGGCAAGCTTGACTGCGTACGGATGGGAGGGGAGGCAGGTGCGCAGTAAAATCATGGGGCTGCTTGGCACCTTTTATGAATCACAGTAGCCAGGACTGGAGGGGAAGGCAGGAAAACACCCCAAATGGTAACTGTTACTGGGGGACTCTGAACTCTGGAGGAGCATAGGAGACAAATTGAAAGTGCACAGAGTTCCTTTGGACCAATAGATATAGAATTGACTGTTCTTCGCCCATCTTTGGTACTAATATAATATGATAAAATTGTAGGAGCTAAAGTCTGCAGAGCAACATCAGGTTCAACGGAAATGTGAAAAATAAATAAATTGAACAGCGCTACTATCTCCAATTGTTCTGATCTATCATGTAAACAATGTCTTAAAGTGCAAGATGCATTATATAACAAATTAAATTCATATGAATCATAAAAATACTAAAAATGCAATAAATAATATTAACATTCAATATAAAGTGTCCTGTGTAATGAAACTTAAAAAAAAAAAAACATGCAGTGACCAGGGGCGGACTGACCATTTGGAAACTCGGGCACTGTCCGAGGGCCCGGGGTCAGTAGGGGGCCCCATGAGATGCCCCTGGTACCTTTTTCATAGGCTTTTTTGAGTTTGGGCAAGGACACAAGGGCCCCATGATCCCCTATTGCCCGGGGGCCCAGTGAGTTGTCAGTCTGCCCCTGGCAGTGACAACTCTGAGCAAAAAAACAAAAATAAAAAGTCCCATACAATGTCCAATATAGATTAGAACAATCCCTTCAAATTCTTCCTTGTTTCACCAAACTTAGTGCTCTCCACCACCAGATGTACAAAAACTCACCAGAGGAAGGTGCTGGTAATGTTTTAAACCAGCTAATAACATATATGGCTCTGGAATTCAGGATCTGCAGCTTGTCCTAATTTGGCAATTTCCTTTCAGGGATTAAACTGTCATTCCACATTCTCTCATCATATCACATGAAGGAGGAAGAAAACTAGGGCTTGCATAGTGTAAAACCATCTAAAAATGTTTATTTTATAAAAACACTCCTAAACTCACATTAATGTGTGTCTCCAACGACACTAATATGACAGGTTCAAACAAATAGCTGAGCTGATTCTGGCCATGATCTCCAGCCGCGAACACAAGCGGTGTGCGTGGTGACATCACATCCAAGTCTCCCCCTATGTGTTTCATTATCCTACACCTACATTGTGAAAAGCTTGTCACTCAAAAAGAAGCAGGATGTTCTTTTGGGCGACAAGCTTCATGTGATGTGGTTTGCCATGATTGCGGCATGATTTATCGTGCGACAATCGTAGCAAGACTGCACCGCATTTTGGTGCCATTGAAAATGAATGATATCCAAACACACATGGTGCAATTTGTCATTTTTTTTTGCTGAGTTTTTTTGGGATTGTGGGCAGAATCGTGTGGTGATCCTGTCCGAGATCGCAAATGCCCAGATGTGAACGAACCCTGAGGGTGAGGGAAAAATACAGCTTCTGTGTGGACTTTATGATTCCACATGGCCAAGAGAGTAATGTAGTGTCTGTTATTGCATACTGTAAAGCTTAGTGTACACTAGACGATTTTTCAACAAAAAGTACATTCAACAGCTTGATGAATGTTGTTCTAAAGTAGTTCAAAATTTCGTTTGTTTTTAACATTCAGTTTTGGAGTGAATGGACTGTACCGAATGAAAACCACATGCTCGAGAAACATTTTCCATCCTTTACTCTCATATTTTCTTGCCACTGCAGCTGCAAATCAAAGTTGATTTGACCCCACTAACAATTAGAAAATCAAACATTCTTAAAATGAAAATTCCTAACTAAAATCTAGTGTATACACAGTTTTAGCGAATGCTTTCAATTCACAGCCCTCTTGACAGAGCAACCACTGTCCTACAAATGTCAGATATTCAAAGACATACAGCTGACATGTCACGGAACTAATCTTAAACAGCTTGTAAAAGTTGATTCCTTAATGTGATGTGATAAATAAAGATGGGGTAATTACATAAATGAATGAGCTGTTCAGTAAATAACTGATGAAGTCCCTTAATGCAAGCTTGGATCTAAACTGCTTTAATGACTCATAGTATGTTGTTCCCCTACCAATGATCTTAACTGATAGCTGGAAAACATATCCTATTGCTGTACTTAGTGTATATTAAAACTTGTGTAATGTATCAGATACATTAAATGTACAGATTATGAATACAGATCTTTTCTGGCCATATGGAGTGTCTATACATTTGTGGAACAATTATGTGTAAAGTAATTGGAATAGCACCACATGGTGTGCTGCAGTATTGTGTAATGTTATAATATGTTTTTATAATCCTATTCTGCTGCTCTACATTTTTTAGGATTACATTTTTTTTTTTACAGAATAATAGATTATTCATTTCAAAGACATACAAGGAAAGAAAGGTGCAAGTATACATATAATAACAGTATCTCAGCACATGGTGTGATCAGTCCACATTGCAAAATGAATGTGAAACATTAAGGCCCCACTTACACCTGGGTGTTTGTATTCTTGGGCAGAATTGCAGCAATTCTGCCCACAATCCCAAAGTGCTCTGCAAAAAATTACAAATTGCACCACGCATGTTTGGGTGCCATTCATTTTCAATGGCATCAAAACGCAGTATGGTTTTGCCACGATCGCATTGTGTGAAAATTGTAGCAGAACAGCACAGTGTTTTGGTACCACTGAAAATGAATAGCACCCAAATACGTGTGGTGCGATTTGTCATTTTTGCAGAGCACTTTGGGATTGCGGGCAGAATCATGGTGATTTTGCCCAAGATCAAGATGTGCTCCGGGCTTTAAAGAAATACATTAGAGCTGTAAAATGGATGAGGAAGTAGGCCCTTCTGTTCGAGATGGTTATCAAAACATTTTCCTGGACTCCAGGGTTCTACATCACTGCTGGACAAAGCTGGTTTATTGGAGAGAACCTGAGATTGTTCTAGTTCACTGAGTTAGTCAATAGTCAGCTGTCTGGGAGACAGTATATGGTTGTACTGTGTTGTCAAATAAAACTCGAGAAAAGGAAAATAGGGGCAAAGGGGGGAGTATAAAGAGAAGAATGAAAGAAAAAAAAAAGGGGAGTTAAGATTGGATTGGTCAAGGGAGGGGCAAAGGGTCAGGCCTAAAGAAGGAAAAGAGTATTGGGGTAGTTGGATGGGGAGAGAGGCTTCCAAGTATTTAGATTTACAGTGTGAGTTTAGGAGAGGAAAGAATTAAAACTTTTTAATATTGCATACACACTGTAAATATTGTTATTATATCACGTACTACTCTAGGCTCCTTAATAAATGTTTACCAGGTTAACCTTAACTGCTTTGCTAAAAAAAAGCATGTCGTGTACAAAATTCTTTAGCTCAAGCTTAAATTTAAACTCAATGGGTCAAAGAAGTGACTTAATCACCCTTTTTGGGTTTATGGTTTATTTGTATTATCAAAACGTTTATAAAAATAGTTAAAAAATAAACAATAAATTAAAATTGTAGTTTTCCTTTAACGTTCTGAATGGCTACAAATAGCATGTGTTGCAAACCTTCAAAATATGCACCTTGCACACTTTCTAAACATACAAAAATTAAATAACCCATTAACCAGATTTTACGTTTTAGTGGATTAGAGCTGAACATTGAAAAGGGATTACTTATTGGATGCTATGTTTAGTGCACTGTATTTATGACCAAGAGCCACATTTCTACAATGGTGAATCCAACACAACAAACACTTTTCTCATGCGCTAGGAAAAGACTCAGTAGACCCAATAGGAGTGTTCTGGAATTTTCTGGAATATGCACTGCTTGCTGCCCTCAACAGACCGGGGTGGTCCAAATACACTGGATGCAAATGGAGAAACTGAAAAAGGGCGCACCGACCTAGTGCATTATCGTTTAAAATATTTATTGAAGAAATAAAGTAAGTATCATACTCACAATAGACATAAAAACACAGGCATGTCAAACTGAACAAGATGTATGATCCAAACAACACTGGCTCTGAGGAAGAGGTTGTGTCCTCGAAACGCGTTAGTCAATTGGTCATCCAGGGTTCCATCTTATGGACTCAGATGTCGTTTGGGTCATACTATTGTGAGTATGATAGTTACTTTATTTCTTCAATAAATATTTTAAACGATAATGCACTAGTTCAGTGCGCCCTTTTTCTGTTTCTCCATTTCTACAATGGTGGCCTGACTGTGCCATGCTTTAGCAATAGCCTGTAGTAAGGTATTTTCTTTATTATTTAGCTGCGAGAATACCTTGCTTAAAGAATTTTACCAAAATTACTCATATCCTCACCAAGAACACCCTGTCCCTTATTGTCAATCTAACCCTTAAACTATCTCTCCCTCAGTAGTATATCTAGTGTATATCACCAGGGTGGAATTTTTAAACACATAACTCCTCCACATGTCAAAATTGTTTTCAGTAATATTAATGAACTTCAACAAATACTAGTAATGTCTAAAATCAAAAGCAGCAGAGACAGTGACATTTTTCTTTACCTGAACATAATATATATATACAGTTGTGTCCAAAATTATTCAACCCCCCACTGAAATTGAGTGTTTTGGCCAGTTTGACATTGCTTTTGATCATTCAGTCATCTTGCTTACATTTACATTAAAGAGGCACTTGTAGGTCAGACAAATATAACATAACAGTTATAATGAAATAACCACAAATGTCTTTTCTGTGCTCACAGCATTATCAGTTTTATTCAACCCCCAAGTGACATTCAATCTTAGTACTTAGTACAGCATCCTTTTACAGTTATAACAGCTTTTAAACGTGAAGCATAGCTTGACACAAGTGTCTTGCAGCGATCTACGGGTATCTTCGCCCATTCTTCATGGGCAAAGGCCTCCAGTTCAGTCACATTCTTAGGCTTGCGCACTGCAACTGCTTTCTTTAAGTCCCACCAGAGGTTCTCTATCGGATTTAAGTCTGGTGACTGCGATGGCCACTCCAAAATGTTCCAGCCTTTCCTCTGCAACCATGCTCTAGTGGACTTGGAGGTATGCTTGGGATCATTGTCCTGTTGAAAGGTCCAACGTCTCCCAAGCCTCAGGTGTGTGACGGACTGCATCACGTTTCCATCCAATATCTCCTGGTACTGAAGAGAATTCATGGTACCTTGCACACGCTGAAGCTTCCCTGTACCTGCAGAAGCAAAACAGCCCCAAAGCATGATTGACCCTCCACCATGCTTCACAGTAGGCAAGGTGTTCTTTTCATCATAGGCCTTGTTCTTCCTCCTCCAAACATAGCGTTGATCCATGGGCCCAAACAGTTCTAATTTTGTTTCATCAGTCCACAGAACACTATCCCACAACTTTTGTGGTTTGTCCACATGGCTTTTGGCATACTGCAGTCGACTCTTCTTATTCTTTGGAGACAGCAAGGGGGTACGCCTGGGAGTTCTGGCACGGAGGCCTTCATTACGCAGTGTGCGTCTTATTGTCTGGGCTGAAACTTCTGTACCCACATCTGACAAATCTTTTCTCAGTTCCTCAGCAGTCACACGGGGACTTCTCTCCACTCTACGCTTCAGGTAGCGCACAGCAGTCGAAGTCAGCATCTTCTTTCTGCCACGACCAGGTAGCGTTTTCAACAGTGCCCTTTGCCTTGAATTTGCGAATGATG